GGGGCGTGGCCACGCCACAATCCCTTCTCCTCCAGTCTCCTCTCAGGATCTTGGGCATGCATGCACACACACCTGGCGTGAGTTTTAAGCCACTGGGTCCGGGACTCAAACCGTGGTCGACTACATGGGAGTCCAGCGACATAGCCATTATGCTAACTGCTGGTCCCTGGACACATGGACTATCTTTCTAAAAATGTCTGTGATTATTTGATTTATTAACAGTCCAAGTGTATGATTTTTTAAAAAAGTTATGTTGCATTTAATATTCTAAAACAAATGTTTTGATACATACATAGCAGTAAACTTTGGTAATCTGAAAAGTTTACTAAGATGAACTGAAATCAGTCACTGACATATCAGACAAATGAGGAGTTTTCAGACTATGCTAGTACTCCCTGATTCCCACCTGTTTTAGGGAAAATGTCAAAGTCAGATGTCTACAGAAATATTTCAAACTAGTAACTCATGCAAATTGATAGATATATTTGATGCCATAACTTGTTGAACTATTCACTCAATCTTTTCTGGATACACAAATGGCAGTATTGAGAATAAAAAATAAGCAGTATTGAGAATAAAACATACTTGTGAAATTAATAAATCTATATTCCAAAATTAGAATTTTCCAATTCCAAAAAGCATTGAAAAACTTGTATCAGTCGTCTAAGCTATTTGCAGAACACAAAAAAGAACGGAAAAGCCTCGTCCAGCACAAACTGAAGTGCAGCTGAATGAATTTCTCTTGCCTGACCTAGTTCAGTAAAAAGACAAATCGCTGAGAGTAATGGAGCTCTAGCTTGACACTGATGACTGACAGAAGCTCCGAACTAGGTTCTGTGAGTAATGCAAAAAGCCATTACATCGTTTCAGTGTTTCCTACAGACCCTCTTGGGTCTCTGTACTTCACCAGCATGTCCAGTGGAAGCACTTACCATGATAATCCCCTTGGCCTGGTGGGTTGGTTAGAATAATCTTCAGGCAACTGAAAGGTGTATAATCTGTCCTCTTGCCCTCCTTTCCAAAACTATGACGGATATTGTAAGAGTAACCTCTGTCAAACTGATTGGGAAGAGGAGAAGAAAACAGAGACAAGGTTAGTCAATATTGTACTAGCGATGTTTACAATGCCAGCTACAAAGAGCACGAACTGGTATCTCCTAGAATGCTAGGGAAAAAAAAAAAAATCAAGCATTCACAGGCAGATGTACATTCACACCCAATATACAATTTGGATCCTTTATGACACAAATAATATCTTTTTCTAAAAACAGGTCCAAGGGTCAGCCAGTGGTAGGGTGGTTAGACTCACATGGCCAAATTGCACAGTTCGCGTCTCAACACAGCAAGTTGAAAAACATGCCAAGTGCACGTGTGTACATGCCCAAAATCCCAAGAAAAGAATGGGAGAGAAAAGGGTGCAGTGTAGCCACCCCCAGGAGGCGATTTCTCTTTCTCTCTCTCTCTCTCTCTGGTGAGTACATGTGACCTGTAGAAAAAAGAAAAAAGACAGAAAGGACAAACTTAAAGAACACAAATTTCTCAGGTAGAAGACAGCTTAAAGGTGCTTATATGTTTAAAGGTGAGGAAAATTCTTTCCTGAGAAAGGTAAACAATTTGCCCTTTCTTCATGTGATTCCAGAGATTATACTAGCTATAAATCAGTTTAGCCTTCTCTCTTATCTCCTCCTCCTAGTTCTCCCTGAATTACCATGTCCTCTCCAGTCTACTTCTGAAATCTTTCTTCAAATATATCCCTGGTCAGCAAATACTCGATGACTGAATGAACTACTCCAATTGCTTCATGTCTGGAGTCCTTGTCTCTATGACTACAAAATAAGCTAATGGGATGGAAGGGACTTTGAAATAGGTGAGAAGGAAAAAAAACAGGAACTGAAATTTACTGAAAGGCGATTAGATACCAGACATGTTGCTAGACGCTTTTAAAAACAAAATCCTATTGAATTATTTAAATCATCACAACTGCCCCTATGATATTACACATAGCAAAACTGAAGTTCAAAGAAATGAAGCAATATGATATAATACAGCCATTAAACAAATGACAGAGTTGAAAATCATGTGCAGGATAAGTCTGACTCAAAGCCCCATGTTCTTTTCAAAATACTGCATTTTCTCAATAAGATTTTTTTTAAGGCATAGGTTCCAATTAAATTTATTTAGGATTTAACTTCTTTATTTTTAGGACTTAACTGTGCCTGGTGTGAGTTTAAGCCACACCGCATCCGGAACTCAAACCATGGTCAACTACATGGGAGTCCAGTGACATAGCCATTATGCCAACTGCTGGTCCCCTATTTCAGACCCTATTTTAAATGAAACTTCATCTTGACAACTAAACTAAGGAGTAATCTCTTTGTTCTCCCAATCTCAACAATATTTTACTTATACCTCTCCAGAAGATTTAGCTTTATTACATATTTGATTTTTATGGCACTTAACTATTCTTCTCTTATGACACATTATCGCTCTACTTTCCATTAATCACACAGGTGATAAGCTCCTTCTGAACCATAGCTCATTGACATAGTATCTGTCCATTGAATCTGTGTACCCAGCTTGGACCAGCATGGATGAAAAAAGTAACTGCATATGGAAGGATCTTTGGTTTACTACAGCATCAAAAGGTTACCATCCCATTATTTTGCTTACATTAAATGTATTCCTGTGTCAGATGTTTGCTGGTTTTCTTTAATTTCACTATTAACGATACCCATTTGTCATAGCAAGTCCATAACCCATTGCTCAGCCAGAGGCAGACAGTGTATCTTTGACAATGTTTGAAAAGAAAAAAAACAGTCAACACTAGTGGAATTTTAGACAAAATCCAATTTTCCTGGGAAATAGATGAGGACTAAAGTGGGTATCTAAAGTCAAGTCATCATTTAGGCAAAAACTAAAGACAACACTAAGTTTCTAAAATGAATTTTTGACTATAGCGAATGATGGATTTAGTAAAACAATTTATCCTCTACTCTAAAAAATACATGTGTGTTTACAAGAAAAACCTTGCTCTGGCCTCGCCTCAGTGGTACAGAAAATGCATATTGATACACAGTGCTGGAAACCACATGGCTGACTGTGGGTTTGGTTCCTGAGTTGACCTAAACATGCTGGGTGCTCATGTGCTCAAGATCCTGACTAAATGAAGGGCTGGGGGATGGGGATCGTAGTGTGACAGGTAGAGGAAGTGTCTCTCTCTTTTACTCTTTTTCTCTTTCTCTCTCTTGGGAAAGAAGATTTAAAAAATGAAAAAGAAAAAAACCTTGCAACCTTCACACTGAAGTGCAATCTTACACTACAATCTACTTTTATTACTCAGTGACGTCTCAAGGCTTTCAGAACCAGAGTTATCAGAAGCTGTCAGTGGTCTGTGGAGCACATCAAATGTTCCTACATGACACATCGAACAATACTTGGTGAGACTCCAGAGAGCCCGAGGAAAAAGTCATTTTCGAAGGGCAAAATATTTGAGGTTCTGAATCTAAGGATTAAAATGATTTGGCTATAAAAGGGTTATAGTTTTTACTTCCTGATTCTTAATATCTAACTTCCAAAATGAATTCTCTAGAAAGCTTTAAGAATGATCACTCAGAATTTTCATATGTGAAATTACTAAGCATAATAGTAAAAAGTAATATTATGTAGATAATGAAATAAAATTTATTTTGAGTTTATACGTAATTGTGCATATTTGCAACAAAGTGAAATTTAAAAGGAATCCAAAGGGTAGGCAGACCACATTTTGCAAAACAGAGAAATCCTTCCTTCTTAAGTGATCTCGAGGCACCTCAGTGTGGCAGAGTTGCCCTCTGTTCTCTTTCTCTAACTCATACTGAAGAGCAACGTCCAGAGAGCAGGGTTGATAGAAAGGCAATCAGTAATACTGCCTGAGATCCTAGGCTTTGGAGGCACAGAGAACTAGGGAAGATTCCCCAACCTTGCTATTTATAAAGGGTGTGGTATTAGTGCATTAAGTTGCTGTTAGGATGAAGTGAGATTAAAACAGTAAACAGAGGGCCTGTCACATACTTTGTTCTCAGCAGATATTAGCTGCTACTGGTGAAAAAAATACTTGGCATCAAAATTTAAATATTTTTTATGCAACTGATAAAGCCTTACCATCAATAGATATTAACCGCAACTTTACCTAAAAGTTTAAGGAGGATAAAAGCTTCATTGAACCATTTGATTAAATTTCTAGTCATCTGCTGAAAATGTCCTCCCCACTTCCAACTCCCATCCACAACTGTGACAAACTATTCATATAAACCTGGCTCAAATATCATTTCCTCTATAAAAGGTTTTCCAAACTCCACAGGCAGAAGATGTTGCTTCCTCAAAAGAACATACAGCAGTAATCTGTACAGTGCTGTACATTTCCTGTTGCAATATAATTTGTCTTCATATTCTTTACTTCCAAACTATAAATTCCCTAAGGGCAAGGACTTGGTTATGGACTTACCTTGTCATGCCTACTCAATACTAGACATAATATCCACTCACAGGAGGTGCTCAATAACCTTCACTTAAATGAAAGCACAAATGAGTACGTAGCTGAAAGGATGAATGAATCAACATACTTCAAGAGATTTTTATCAAGATTAAGTAACTTTAAAAAACTGCCAAATCATTACAATTTCACATTGCTCTGCTGTTTTGTCCTTCTTGATGGCTTTTCTTCTTTATTATAACAATAACAAAAATTAAACAAAGAGTTCAAATGATACCCTTTACAGAGTATAGTGGAGATACTAAAAGATAATAAATTAACAAACCACCTTTCTTTAAAAAATATGCTTAGTACAGTGCGACTGCACTACCTGTTACTTTAAGGAAAGTAGGGCGGAATCAGAATAATAGATGTGTCTGTACCTATATAACCCACATCCTTATCAAGAGACTGAACGTTTGCTTCAACTCACTGAGTCCCCTTGTGCGTTTTTCAGTTGGCAATTTCCCCTCACCTTCCCTAACCAGAAGCAACTACTGATTTAATTTTTGTCACCAAAGATTTGTCTTAGCTGGTCTGTTACTTTGAGTAAATGGAATCATGTAATATCAAGTGGGTGTGTCTGACTTCTTTTATGACTTTTAATGCTTCTGAGATTTATCCATGCCATTTACATGTATTAGTCCTTTGTTCTTTTTCATTGCTGAATAGTATCCTATAACACAGATACATCGGAATATTCATCTATGCTTTTGTGGATAAACACCAGGGTAGGACCTTGTGAATAATCAGAATTAAGTATTTGATTTCTATTCCTGCCACAGAGCTCCCAAAACCCTTATAATTTCCTGAGCAATAGAGATGCTAGGTGCATCTTTTGTCTTAATATTTGTTCTTTGGCAGGACCAGCAGATGGCCTATTGGTTATGTCACTGGACTACCATGTAGTCAACTGTGATTTTGAGTCCTGGCCTCAGTGGCTGCATGCTCATGCATGCCCAAAAACCAGAGGAGAATGGAGGAGAATGTAATGCAGCATGGCCATCCCTCCAGAGGGTGATTTTTCACTTTCTCTCTCTCTGTTTCTTTGGCAAGTGTACACACCCTGTGGCAAAAAGCTAAAACGAAAGAAAAAAATGTTCTTTGGTCTCAGTTCTTGACACAGAGTTCTTAATATCATGGAACTTCTCGGGTACCTTCTAAGAGTATCTTTTGTGGGACCAGCAGATGGTATAATGGTTACGTCACTGGACCGTCACTTAATTGACTACAGTTTGAGTCCCAGACCTAGCGGCTTAAAACTCATGCCAGGGGTGGGAACCAGCAGTTAGCGTAATGGCTATGTTGCTGGACTCCCACGTAGTCGACTGCGGTTCATGTCCCGGACCCGGTGGCTTAAAACTCACACCGGGCGCGTGTGCGTGCGTGCCCAAGATCCTGAGAGGAGAATGGAGGAGAAGCGATTGCGGTGTGACCATCCCCCCTGGGGGGTGATTTCTCGCTTTCTGTCTCTATGTCTCTCTCTGTCTGTCTGGCGAGCGCACGTGCCCTACAGTGAAAAAAAAAAAAAACAAAAAAACTCATGCCA